GGTGGATGGGTGGCTGGATGTTTGGGGCTGGTCCATTGGCTCGGCCCTTTTCCGCCCGCCACTTGTCAGCCAATGTGCCATGTCCTGGCATGTCCTGCGTTTTCGAGAACGTCGAGAGAGTGTGTGTGGATTGGACTGAACTGAACTGAACTGAACTGAACTGGCCTGGCCATTTCCCGAGTCCTGGGCCTGTGTATCGTTGATATGATAATTGGCATGAGGTAATAATCCACTTGGATACGTTGACAATCGTTTATATCGCAATCAGTGTCATGCCGTCTGCTTCTGCTCGGCACCGTATCCTGCAATCCAGTGTGTCCTGGCGGCATAAAGTATAATTTCCCAGCCATGTTCTCGTTGTCCTGGTCCTGTTCCTGCTGCTCCTGCTCCTGCTGCTCCTTCCATCGACTGGGCGACATATTAAATAACAATGAACTGCAATTGCCCAACGAGAGTCGTAATTCGTTTGTAATGCGTGCAGACGCACAGATTTTGAGTAGTCGCAGTCAGCAGCCGCATGTCCTTGCAAGGACTCCACTTCCCATACCATTTCCATTTCCCCATTCTTTCCACATCCTGCATCCTGCACTCCCCGCTTCTTCTTTGTCACTGTTTTGTTTTATGTCCTCCACTGGCAATTGTTCTTCGCACTGCATATAATTCCTGATTTCCGAGTTTAACTCGTTGCCCAGTTAAATTTAATCACTTTTTGAAATCGGTTCGCTCTGATAGAGTATGGGATTGCAGTTCCAGGTTCGAGCTTCGAATGGAGTGGAAGGCGAGACAAAGTCAATTTTGTGGAAATGACAAACCAACTCGGTAAACTCTAATAGAAAGGATTACGTTCAGCAAATATTACGGTCGGTAAACTCTGAACAACTGAGACTGGTTGGGTGGGTTCAAGTGCGGAATTCGATGGTGTTATTAACCAGGAAGTATTCTAAAATTGGGTTGCATTTCTAGTACGTTTTTTAATACAAAGATTTTGTGAAAAAGAATGTATCAGTCGAGTATCAGTTTATTACGAAGTTTGGAACTTATATAATTATAGTTTGTCCGTTCCAACGATGGAGATCATTTTGAAAATGCTGAAAAGTATTAGTTTCTCTTTTCTTAATCAAAGGTTTTATCCAAGTAAATCTTGTTTATATTGTAGCTTGAAATTTGAAAATTGTATACCTTTCATTTGGTATGGATGATTGATAAGCGATCTGTTTCGTAATGATCATTTTATTATTTAGATTAGTTTTTTTTGTTCTGTATTATCTTCCAAGTTTACCTTGGGATTTCTAAAGATTACATTTAGGAACTCATATCATATCTGCCGGTTCCAATCTCCAATCTCGTACATAAGGGTCCACCTATTCTTCATTGTTACTCTGGTAACTGACAATCTTTTTGTTTTTTGCAAATACAACTGCTTTTCCCCAGGCTGCAGATCCTGTCATCACATCAACGGATTCTCGCAAGTGGTTTCCGCTCGATTCAATTGGTCACAATCCGAGGAGCCAGTCAGGTGGGGAAAAGCACTTTCTCTTTTTCGGTCTCCTGGGCGTCGCATGCAAATGTACTTTATGGGTTCGGAGTTTGGGGAGGTCGAAAGTTATGCAAGCGGTGTGGATTGCGTGAGGCCGACGCTTAAATCGCCGCTGAAAAGCCGCAAAAGCTGCGGAAATACAAAGTTGGGGATGCCGCCCAAGGTTTTTCGAGGGCAGGAGCATGTGCGATTTTAATTTTTAACAAGCCAGGTGCTTTGCGCCTGCTTTACATTCAAAGTCTTGACATTTTTCAGCCCTCTAGCTTGATGAAGTCGCGTGGTTGCGGGCTCTCGGCTGTTGAAAAACTAATTTTGATTTTAATTAAATATTTATGACTCGACGGGAGGACTTCGGCAATCAGGGCTTTATGAAGAGAGTGGATATCCTCTAATAAAATAAGCAAATACCTGGCAAATAACTTCTGCTTATCAGTCAGAAAATTAGAGACTTATCCCAAGAGACTTGCAGACTCGCAGGTTGCGTGCCCAATTCGGAAAACGGAACCCTTCCTTCGTTCCAGCTCTCCTTTTCCTCGAAATCAACTAAGACCCCAAAGGCAGGGGGATGTGGGATGGGCGACTCCTGCTCCACTAGCTCGTTTATTCGATCAAAAGTTACGAGCCCATCTTAGATTGGACATTAAATGGACACTAAAATATTTTCCATCTGCACGCAGGGCTCGGAAAAAGACCGAAACAGGGTTGGAACAGGCGAAATAAATGTCATGAAACAACTCATTGACAGGCACATAAGGACACTGGTTTTATGGTCCACAGATATGACCAAAATATATGATTACCATGTGTCCGGCAGCATGCAAGCTCGTAAATAGGCATTTTCTGTGCTTTAGTTCTCATGGACACATCATGTCCTACCACCCCAATATACTTCGGACTACTCCCTCCTCCTATCTTGACCCCTTCCCTCTGTATTTTTCTCCACCCATGATTTTCGTTGGTTATTTAGCAAGTGATCCAGGTGGGACTGCTCCTGCTGACTGTCACAACCCGTGGTCCAGTCGTAAAAATCAAAATAAAATGAAACTTATGCGTGATGTTCGGGGCTCTGGTCTCGTTGGATTTTTGTTTGCCCTTCTCTGCGTTTTTATGCCCGGGGTCACTGGCTCAGTTTACTAATGATGGGTTTTACATTTAAATGGAATCCACTGAATGACCCCAGGCCCTAAGACAGCAGTTTGACTTTAATGACGGTTCTAATACAGTTGACATATTTATACTTACTGTTTTATTGGGCGGTTTTGGAAAGTATAAGATAAGAATTATTGTTTTGGTTCAATTGAAATGTCTTTAAATGAGCAATGGGGCATCAATGAACCAACCTCTCTATTATAACTAGACATTGTATTTTATGTCATTTCTTAAACATCCGTTTTTCGCGATTCTTGAAAGGATTCGTTGACTAAGTTTATAACATTACGATTTAATGAAAAATATTTGTAACCAATAAATTATCACTGGATATTGGATGTTAAAAAAGGATTTTATTTATATTCTCTTTTAAAATAAGATAATTTATCATAACAAAGAAGAAAGTTTTAATTTTTTTTTAATGAAAGCCCTAAAGAGCACTTAAGCAACCTTTTCAAAAAAAGATTCCAAGTGAAGCTCGGTTAAATATCGCAATTGTTGATACCCTACTTAAGTATGCCCCCTAACTTTAGCTCCCTTTGTACAACAAAATGTGCCTCATTGTTCGATTTATGTAAACCAGATTTAGCCCGACATTTGTTTGCAAATTAACCAATGAAAACATTGCGATGCCGGCAAACGGGGATTCTATCGCGTGTCAAAGATCTACAAAACAGCTCCAATGGCCAGGACGATGCCAGGACACGGCCGTGAATGATGCCCCACAGCTGGTCCGATGTTTCGATGGTCCGATGTTTCGATGGTCCGATTTCCCGGGCCTCTTCATTTTCGTATAAATTCGACATTTATGCAGTCGCAGCCCAGAGTGTATGCTGATTTCATCTCATCTCGTTCGGGCGTTACGTGAGCTGATTACGTTAGTCACGCGCGGTTGCCGAGGGTGTGGGATTCGTAGGACTCGTAGGATTGGTGGGACTCGTGAATGGGTGGCTGTATTGGCAGCAGTGACCAGTAGTGTTGTCGGCTCAGCTAGCGAAAAGCCAGTGTTTTCTAGGGCTTTTCCAGCCTTTTATACATTTTTTACTGCCAAATCTACACCATCCTATCCAAAATTCTTATAGATTTTGTTACACATATGTACAATGGGAGAAAAAGTTAGTACTTGGTTGAAAATGTTCACTGTTGGCCCCTTCATAAACACAATATCAATGCAATGGAACCCAATTTTTTGTTGTTTATTCTTACTTATTAAAAACTCCTTATACAGATCACAACAAAATAATCCTATTCTTTTCGTAAAAAAAAATAAAAAACAACTCGCATGTACTCAAGTTTGCTCCCCATCTGTGTGACACATTCGTCTCGGAAAGCAAAATCAAGAACACATAAATCTCTATTTGAGAAGTGCGTCATCAAATTTTTCTAGAATACTTCTTGTAAATTTGAGTAAATACAGCAAAAATAATTAAAATTCTTTAAAAACATTGTTACTAAGACCTGGATATTATTTTTGAGAAACCGCCAACACCGATGGCCAGGACGCAGATCCTTTCTCCAATCCGACTCATTTCGGCAAAGTGAAATTGTGCCAACTTGCGACTTGATGAGAATTTCATTCGGTGCGGGATTTTATGACTCTGGCGGGAAACAGGGAAGCAAGAAAGAAGGGGCTGCCAGAAGTGTTGGGTCTAGGAGTTCCACTAAATGATTTTGCATTATTTGTCGATTCTGGTCCTTGTGGCTTCGTTGGCTCGTTGGCTGCCATAAAAAGTCAATGCATGCGAAATGTTGGCGTGACACGCTCGAACTAGTCTCCCGAATTCGGGATTCGTTTTCTTAGCCAGTTCCAGTTGGTTTATTTGTTTATTCATCGAATAGGGCGAATCGTAAAAATTATGTTGATGACTCATCAGTAAATGGCATTTATTTTATTGCCGCTCGACTGGCCCTTTGTCACCTTTGTGGCCGTGGGCACATCTTCAATTATGACCCAGCATCCACAGATGATTCCAATTCGACTTGATGCCCAGACTACGAATGAGTTTCTATTTGTATTATTAATGATTTAGCCGCTCCATCACACGGCGTGGATGGTACCACTCAGATGACCAATTATTGATCAAAGTGCAGAGTTCAGAGTTTGGGAAAAGAGATGAGTAAATAGTTTAATTAGATTGGTTTGCGAAAAAGGAAAAGCTTATTTAACTCGCGATTTCTTCCACACAAACCTTGGAATTTAGGAAAGAAATTCTCAAGTCACGATTTCTCTAACAGCATGTGAATTTGGATTGAAATAAAACACCATTGAATTTTCGGGATCTCCATTTATTTTATTTTTGGGATCACCATTGGTTTTATAATCGGGATCTCCAGTTGTGTGTTTTGGGATCTCCAGTTGTGTAAGTTTATTAGCATTCATTTCGGATACAAGTGTGCTTGATTACTCGAGTTCATACAATCTTGCAGATGTACTAAACTCGTATATCCGATGTTGTCTTTGATAGCCATTTGCACTACTCTGTGAACTTGACACCAGGAAATAATTTTTTTAAAGGAGCTGTGAAAAAATAATATTAGTTTCCACATATATAAAAAAAAGAAACGTTTGTCGAATGCCTTGACTATGATTAGGTGATGAATAGATTATAGATAGGTCTAACTCACGGTTTGATCAGGTATTGACAAATAAAAGAAATTATTTATTTAATTCACTTATCTTTGAAAACGTGAGCGCCGCAAGAATCTCTAGAATCTGTATGCCAAGTGCTTTTATAGTTTCAAAGATATCAGCAATCATAGAGACAGACCTTATAGGGTCGGAAAGGGTGCCTTCTCTACTCACCTAATCCTTTTAAATCCAAGCCTAGGTTAAGGCGAAAAGGTTTCTTCTTCTCCTCGTCGCTCTCGACCGTGGGTATTTCTTTGGAAACTGTACGCCTAGCTTCCTTCCCATCACGTTCATCAGTTCCCACTCGCTTGCGACTGCCCACGGCGCTCCTCCTATATGTTCGACGCATATACTGCTCTAGATCGGTCTCCTTTGACTTGGGAACCCGATCCGCTAGGGTTCTCTTGCTACCCGATGGGCCAGCCACATCGTGACGATAAAGAGTGGGCACGTGGTTCACACGGGGTATTCTCGGAATCGGTTTTCGATGTTCGCGAGTATTCTCGACCTGGGCTCTGGCCTGCTCCTCTATCATCTCCATTTTTTTATCCAATTGTGCAACCTTTTCCGCATCATTAACACCCAGTGCTGCATCGCGTTTCATGATTAAATTTATTTTCTTATGAGCGATTTTTTGATTTTGACCAGACATCCCCTTGGCTTTTATAAGATTTTCAACATCAGATTCGGTATAGATATACGCAGAGGTTCTTTCCATTTCCACCTGCTTCTTGGCGATCTCATAAAGTGTTGGCAATACCAGTCCATCGCGCCGATTGGTTTCGATCCACTTGTGAAACTCCTGTGGGGAAAATTCCTTATTGGAAACAAAGTTCATTGTGGATGAATAGCTTTCCGCGCCATGTTTCACATTGAGCGTTATTTTTGTCTGCTTTGTGCCGAGTAGATAAGGTTCTTTGGCCAGATAATGATCCACGATCCGAAAAACTTTAAACTCCGATTTATGTTTAAGTCGTACGTAGCAACCGATTATAGTCGCCATGAACATCGGCTTATCCAATATGCTTTCTAAATAGTTTCGGCCGAGGACTGCCTGGTTTAGCTCCTCCAGGGTGGTAACACGTGGCTGACCCTTCTTCTTGGGACGAACTTCCCCACCGCTGTTCGACGACGAGTCGTCCGAGTCGACGCAGCCAGAAACGCGCTTCTTGCCCTTCCCATTTCCATAGATCTGGGAATTCTCCTTGGTCACTTTGTTATGCATAATATCCACTAAACGACCGAAGACCCGTTCTCTTTGGCCACCAGACCGCTGGTCATTCAAGTTCTGGCGCCTAGTGTGCGAGGGGTCCATATATACTGTGTCCGTCGACATCCGTCTCTTCCTACGGTTGATAGACTCGACCGGGAGGTCCTCCCTTTTATATCGCCTATCGCTATGCTGCTCGTTCTCGCGTTCTCCACCATTCTGATGAAACTCCAACGGAGCTCCGATGGTCATCCTTCGCTTTTTGATTTGGATGTAAGTCGCCATGATCTCTAATGTAAATCACACAAAAAAAACAACAAATTAATAATAATATCTTTTGTGGATAAAACACTTTTGTGTAGCCGCTATCTGAATAAAATTCCGGTAAATTTTACATTTTGTAAAAATAAAAAAAATTTTTGTTTAAATAATTAAATCACTTTTTTGCAGTTTCTGAATTAAATACCAATAATTTTATGTTTTCTAGAAATCTAAAAAAAATATTGTATAAAAAAATTAATTACTTTTTAAGTGCTTTGCTTTTTAGATGTGCTCTGTAGCTCTGCTGGTTTGTGACTAAGAATTCGGTCGACCGGGCTCGGTAGGTCGATTTTTTTGACAATTACATTTGTTGCACAGCACACTCTTTTAAGAAAAAAGTTATGTGTTCTTACACACACAAAAAAATGTTAGTAAAATAAACAAAGAAAATTTGTAAAGTTCTATTTTCAAAAATTTGTATAAATTTTTCGTTTTTTTTTGGTTATTGAATAGTAATGAGCGACTTAAGTAGTAAAAAACTTTTTAAGAAACTTTCATGTAACTTTGTTTCTTTCACTTGGAAAAATTTACAGTGACATTACAATAATAATCGAAGAAAAATTGTTTCCATATGTTTGGTTGGTTTGTTTCGGTTGTTCAAATGATAACACTACAACTAAATTCGTAACGCCACTATTTCTTGTTTTCTTTTTAATTGAATTAAAAAGGTTAGAGTGTCTGCCCTATAATCGTCGATTTTTATTTATATCAAGTTTATTGATGTTCCTTAATGAAAATCGTTCTCTGATGATTATAGTCCCGGTTCGATTCCCAGTGCAGCAAAGCAGAATTGTAAGTATAACTAATTGTGAAAAGTGAGTAAATAAAAGAAAATACTAATGAAAAAAATTCAAAAATAAATATAAACAAACAACAATGGAAAATTAATGGGTAAGCTACAAACTTTTTTTACCATTAACTATTTTTAATAGTTTTGGGCAGTTTTCACTTTTAATGAGTTGATTATACAATTATATCTTTGTAGAGAAAGGGAAAACCAAAAGCGTACTGCCAATAAAGAATTAACAATAAAAAAGATTGCAATTTTGGGCTTAGATAAAATCGGTTCTATTTTGAAAGAAATTGGATTTAGTTTTTTATTTGTTAATTTAAAACTTTTAAAACAAATGCTCAATTAAAATTTGGTTTCTAGTACCAGATTAAAGAAATAGGACTGCTATCTTCTTTTAAAAATCTAGCAAAGAAGTGATTCTACCATATCGAAAAATGTAGCAAAGTTGTTCCATACAAGCCATAATTCATTTGCTGGCTAAGCTCATCCATATGTTCGCTTGTTTCAGTTTCAGTCCGAAGTGCCATCAAAATCAAAGCCATAAGCCCGCACAAAATAAAACTTGCAACTCGAGGAGGAGGTGGATGCCAGGACTGGATGTGGAGAAGGAATGGGAACCAGGATCAGAATTGGAATCGCAATAGGAACAGGACTAGAAACTGTGGCTGACCACAATTTCACGTTTGCCTAGCCGTGAACACGTTCAACATGAACGGCGATTAGTTGCATTTGTTTACGAGTATGGATTTCGGATTTGTCTCCGGCTGTGCCAGGTCGCTCCACCGGCCACCATTTGCCACGACGTCGTAATGGCCCGGCCAGCGGTAACTTATTGCATCGTGGCGTGCGAGTGGCCAGCGAGTGCTCCAAAGGGGGTGGCTGCCCATCTGCCCATCAGACAATTGGATGGTTCCAGGTAGGGGTGTACCACATATCGCAGAAAATATATCGCTATCTTGTTGAAAAGAAAGTTATCGTAACATACAATTGAGTAAATATTAAAGTAATACAACCATTTATGAGAATTCAGAAGAATAAGTGCCATTTTCTGGAGTGCCAGTTAAAGTGATAGTTAACCATCTGTCTGACAAGGCTCAAGAAAAATAAATTCAGGTTTCTCGGCTTTTTTTATAGTTCTAAAGTCTGAGTTCCAGTTAGAGTTATCAGTTGCATAAACGGTCAAAAATAATCTAATTTCCTTTACAAGCATTATATCTGCTTGAGAAATTTTAACCGGAGCTCGATAAAACGGGCAAAAATAGTTATAAAGTTAGTTTATATAATAAAACATTTGATCCTTTAAGATCAAAATAGAAAAATATATTTTTTACACCACATAATATCTCATATTTCTTTAAAACATTTAATATTTAAAAGTATCTATTTAACCCCCACTTTTTGCCATCTCTATCACCCGTTCAGGTGGGGACCGCTCTGGCTCTCTCGATATGGATGTGATTTCGTTTTCTTTGCAAGTTTATCCACATTGTAAAGTAGACATTATGTTGATGTCCGGCTGAGATCCTGGTCAGCTCAGGTCCATTGGGCCCGGGCTCATATCGCACTTGGGACATCTGCCGACGGTGGCGATAATATCCCTGAAATTATTTTCAGTTGCTTGTACATTGGTTGGCCGTCCCAGTCTTGGCCTTTGTTTTATTGTTATTGTTTCGCTGCTTGGGCCATGCGATGCCATTGTCGTTGCCAACTTCGTGACCATCTCCCTGTCGCAGGCTCGCATCCAATCCCAGCCAGGACACATTAGTGGAAGATGGACATTTCGGGGCTGTGGGTCTCCGGCTAAAGTTATTACATGTTATATCTCGCTTTTTCCGAAAGCTGTGCCACTTGCAATTATACACTTACTCGGCAACATTGCTTTTTGGCCGGGTTCGGTTTTGGTGGGGTTTGGTGGGGTTACTTTGGTTGTGTGTATGTGATTTTCGCATATTGGCGCTGCAAACTAATGGCTTCACTAACGATTGTAACCGTTGTCCTTAATGGCATCCTTTTGGGCATCACGCGCATCCCGTTTCACCGATTTGTTTTGTCTGTCCCACATTCCCCCATCCAAGGTCCATTGGTCATGGGTTTAGTATCTATGATGGAATGAAGAGATATGTAGCTTTGCCGCCACTCCATCTCTTAATTTTTCTTGGGTCAGTGCATTTGGGTAATTAGAATGGTTGGAATGAAAGTTTTATAATTTGAACTAAAATAATTTGTGATTTAAAACAAGGGTTGGCTAACTAAAACTCGAGCTAAAATAAAAAAGAAAAAGGTTTTTGGTTTTCCTTCATTCGTTATTCAACATTTTTATAGAGGTACTGCTCTTTAAATTTGTACCTACACACATCTAACTTCAACCATTCTGTCCACACATCTTGACCAAGCTCGTTGCGGTCAAAATAAAAATCGTACAAATTTATTGTTAATAGAAAAAGGGATCGAGCGGATGAGGCACGCACATTAAACCCTTCTCCATGGCCAGACCGCTGAAAATTCCCTAACTTTCGGGGTTGGCGGCCAAAGGGGTTGGTGACGATGCCTATCTGGTCATCGCCAGAACCCCGTGGACACTGGACACTCGTAAACATCTCGAATCATACGATATCGAAAAATAATCTCACAACGGAAATGGCATATTTAAAAGGCCAAAGGATTGCTGCGATTTAACTTATAAAATCGAAGAGGCGAATCCAATGCCCAGGAGGTCCAACAACCCGTGATAGTGGCGAAATCTCATCTCCTGGATGCCTTTTCTCCTTTCCCCTTTTTTCCCCCCAGCGAAGGGACACAGCATCTTCGGGCACTTTTTGGGGGATTTTTAGTGTTTATTGCCATAGATTAGTTTGTTTATTGTAATCCTCGTTATAAATTAAGCAAAACTTGCGCTTAAAAACTCATTGGCAGCGGAGGCCAGGCAAGGGTTGTGCCACCCCCAGTGGGATTCGAGGAGTCCTCCAGATGTCCTGGGCCATATTCATTTGCCGCATATTTCCCCGAAGGCGTTGGGCGAACTTGGAGCAGATAATTGCTGCAAATGGTTTACGACCGCAGTCGATAAATGCTGCAATTGGACTTAGTCTTATACAAACAAATTTAATTTACTTATTGTCTGGAATATCGATGAAAACAAAGGAATTACTGAAGTTCCTATCAATTAAAAATACACTTTCTGTGACTTAGCTTATCAATTGTAAATGAATATTTAATCTTAAAGATTATTATTATGTTTTTAGGAAAGTTTTAAAGTAAGTGTCTATATCCTTTAGTACTCGTATAATATCAAGGACATAAGCTATTACCAAAAGCATGGGAAAATACATTTGATTTTTAAGATTTTTCAATCAAAATATTGGAAACAGATACAAGGCAAAATAGTATGCAAATCGGCTGAATAAACAAGCCTCACCGGCAACTATATTAGAAATTCTTAGAAATTCAGGTAAATATAAAAATCCGCCTCGTATTTTGTAATATTCCAAATCTATTTCAGTGTCCGCAGCTGTTGTGCTTGCCTCATTCAATTCGCTTCGGCAACTGAGATTTTCCATATTGTTATCAGCGGTAGCGGCTGTTCAATATGGAAAGGAAAACCTAATAAGGAAAGAAAACCATATATACAGGTGGCTCTGAGTTGGGTGAGGAAAATATAGCCCACCGTAAGCAAACAATATCAGGTGATGCCTGCAGAATATTCGCTGTTTTTATTCTTATTTTTGGTGAAATGACAAAACTCCATTAAGAATTACGTTACGATTACATTACATTTGCCCCCTTTTATTACATTTCCAATTCCTTTTTTCTCTGTGTTTGGTATTCAGCTGGGTTTCCCCATTCGAGGGAGTGAGAGTTAGCGCGCTTCTAATTGCATTTTAAAATTGCGACACCATAAAATGTGCTTACGGTATAAATAATTATAACGGCATTTGTCGCAACAAACAGCGGAGCCCAACTGGAACTGCTCCTCCATGGCCCAAACCAGGATCCCCCATCCGGATCCGGGGATCCAGGGATCCGGGGATCCGAGTAGAAAGCCAAAGGCAGAGTGGCAATGATTTCGAGTGTCAGGAAAATGGGTGTTGGTGAGGGGCCAAGGATGATATTGCGAATACGACGAGTGTGCCGAGGACACTGGCATGCAGTCAGTTGTTGTCGCATCTCCTGGATATTGCATGAGTTCCCTGAGTACCCCCACCATCTGAATTTCCATTTGCCAGGACAGCCAGCCCCGTTTCCGTGCGGCAACAATAACAACTGGCACTACGACGACGACGACGACGTCATGCGATTAACGTGAGCTGCATATTTTCAGCTAATTTTCTAATTAAAATGGTATTTATGCATTTTTCAGCTGGCTGGATTAAACATTCAGTGCTAAGGAGGCAGAAACCAGACAATTGCAAGGATACAGCTCGATATGGCTGGTTCTTACAGGCAAATGGGACATTGAGGCAAGGATTAAGGTATCCTAAAAATATATTTGCATCACATATTTGATTACACATTTTTTGATATTTTAAAGATTTAATTTAGTTAAAAATGTAACATATAATGTAGGTATTCGATTTAAAAGTTTTAATAAAGCATTGGATAACAAACAAATTAACTCGATATTTGACCCAAGCAAGCTTTTCACATTGTAACTAATTTTTACAAGCAAGCAAAACAAAGAAGCTACGATTAGGGTCTTTAAAAAGAGTACATGTACCTATAATATTATGATTTTTTTGAGTTTTTTTATTATTATATTGTGACACCTGTTTTAATCCAAATTGAAGTATTTTATGTAGGTATTCCATTTAATAATAAACTTAAATAATAAACAATTTGTTTAAAAGTTTTTAATACATTTTAAAGATTTCCAAATCAATTTACCCAGCAGGCTTATTAAATGCTGTCAAATTCTTTGTAACACCTTAGTCAGTAGTATTTTACCAAATTCGATGTGTCCTAAAATTGTTGTAAAATTTTAGTTTTCTTTTTCTTCTCACAAATCATATTGTTTTTTCCTTTTCGTGGTAAGTTAAGAAAGTTCTTAATATTTAAAGGAAGTTAATGATATTTACATGGTGTCCCCCCAATAGCAATGACCAGTCCGCCCCCTATTTTATTGGCCTGTTTTGTGCACTTGGTGCTGCATACAACGCTCTTCATACAGCTGGATCCTGATATTTTTAATGACACCCCTATACTGGGCAGCCAGATATTCTATCTTTCCGTAATGGACCTGCTGTGCGACTGCGAAGTGATACCCGATCACTGGAAAGGCGTGCCTCCATGGGGAAAGTTTATCCTGGAGACCATCGTCTCCTTCCTAATCGGAGAATTTTCCATGATGCTGGGGTGGCTCTCCATGGAGAAGTTTCTTGTCGAGCTTCTCAAAAGGACGTCTCTTCGCTACCACTCCAAATTTTTGGTTCTGGAGATCAGTACAGTGGCCCTCGGCATTATCTTCTCGGTGTTAGTGGCTGCGATGACAAATCGAACGGCCAGAATGCAGAAAGTCGGAAGCAAAGTCTGCAGCACTATCAAACAATATAGACAGGATCTGTGGACAAAAAAAGAACAAACCGTTCAATGTCAATCATTTGTAAGGCGAAGGATTTCTATGTTTATGCAAAAGCGTTATCACAAGATCTGAAATTAATCTGAGATGCCCTTGGTAACCAAATCCTTATATTTATCTTCATAAAATTGGCATACCATTTATTTCGTATCAGATGTATAATTGTATAATTTGGAACTTCTTAAACAAATGATTTGTAATTTATAATTTCGAAAAGAGGTTTTGGCATTGTACCGAAATCCTTCTAAGTACCTTTAAAAAGAAAGCATGTCTGTGTTTATAATGTCAAAAAGTTGTAGTTGTACCTTTTTAAACTCCCTATAACTTAAATTTACATTGGCGACAATTACAAAAATTCTACATTGTTTATGAACAATATACGTTTTTCACCTCTATTTATTCTCATATTTTATGAAGCTCTTCTCAGGGAGACTTTGATACGCTCCTTGAAGAGGCGAGCTTGTTACCCGCACACTTGACAAGGATAATGCATTGGACAGCTGGCTGTCCTGGCTGCTGGAAGAGCAGTCAAACGCAGCTTGCACCGCACTTGGATGTCGCATAAATTTGTGACCAGACCAGGACATATTGTACTAGAGCAAAGAAGACCAGTCAGGAGCTACTGTGGCTTATGTCCTGGCATCCTGCGAGTCCTGCCGGTGCCTCGGGACTCTCTTCTCCCCGGACGGCGTTCGGTCAAATTTATTTACTGTGTTATTTATTCTGTCACTTTGCAATGATTTCAACATTTTTGTTGTTGTGCCCCACAGGATTCGAGACATTCGGTTGGGAACTCTGGACCCTGATTGGCCCAGAAAATACTAAAGTTTTTAGTGGTGAAAAGTCAAGTATAAGAGCTTCAGAAAAATAATTTCTCTTGAAACCATCTAACTAATAAGACAAAAAAAAATGTAATATACGGTGAAACTATATTTTTCTTTTTTACATACTAAGTTTAAGACAAAAAAACAAATTAGTACATATTAGTATTAGTATATATATATGTTTATTTAAATAATATCTTATAATTTCTTTTATATCAATTGTTATATTATTTTTACTTAAATTTAGCGTTCCTATTTTTGGAACTACGTATGAGACATTTAACTACAGATAATATATAATATATAATAGATAGAAATGAACGATAACTAAGGTTTTTATTTTAATATATAGATAGATTAAATCTAGACTTTAATATTATTATTTACCATTATTTTAGTGACATGTTTCATAATATCCATAATCTTTAATCTGAAGTCACTTTAAGTTATCCCCAAATTAATGTAACTCCCAACTGTTCCTTCACTCGTACAGCTCTTGTCAAGTCCAATAAACTTATATGGCACATGTGGGCTGAAAGATTTGTTTCAGCCTGATCCTTCGACACATCCCGCGCCCCATGAAAATGGAGCTCCTCCCATTTTAACTGCAGTGCCAGCATGTAATTCTCGCATTTTAACGACCTTCAGCTGAGCAGAACGACGTGTGTCCTGTCGACGGCGACAGATTTTTCTAATGTCTCCATTCGAATCCTTTGGCCAAAGGCAATTAAATGTGCCACGGAATGGGGGGATTTGGAGGACACATAATTGTTTTTTGCGTGCGTGAATGGAAGTGGAGCGAGTGCTGGATGCGGGTGAAGTGTCATAAATTCCATCGGAGGAACACGATTCCGGATGAATTATGTCTTATGGTTATTAGACAAAAGGACATCCCCGATCCTGATCCTGATCCCTTACACAAACACACACTTACACATTCAAACGTGGCGAATTATTGGCTGCATTTGGGCGTTGGAAGGTGTAATTATTAACATTTGTGCTGGGCGAAACAATTAAAAGCGAAAGCAGCTCGAATCAAAGAACAAGAAGGACTCTGACACACATAAAAGAGGATGTTGGGGTTGTGGGAGGACGGAAGGTGTGGGAGATCTGGAAAATTGTCAGTGTGAAGAACACATGTGCAATTGCCGCTTGCCTTAATGGGCCATAAATAACCAGGACAACAATGAGGCGGCTGCACTGCATCCACCTTGGCGAACTTCCCTCTCCACTCCATCCCTCTTGTATTTTTACTCTTTTTATACCCGATGGCCAGAAAGTGCAGGGGTATAATGTACTGATGAGCACACATGTATTAATGGTAATGATTGTTAACTTACTTATTTCACAATTTAAATTTTATTTACTAATTTAAACGATTAAAATAATCAACACTATAAACACATTTGTTGAAATAAATATATATTTTACTTAGCTACCTTAGTATACTTAACCTTTATAGACCCTCAACATTTTTTTTAGGAATTTTATTCACTTACTTTTCATATAACACTTTTATAAGAGTGGATTTCTCAATGTCAAGTTAAGGTTCTAGTTTGTTATCTGTTGGATAGAGTTAACATGACGTTAAATTCGTTATCTCAGTGTGGTGTTTATTGTTCCAACTCATATCACACGATTGGTTTTGTGTACCGACAACTTAACAATAAAACCTTTCATAATATTGAGAAACTACCCATTTCTAAATCAGTAACTTAACCCACTAATAAAATTTAACATCAGATTGAAAAATCGGCCCTGAGAGCGATAAATTAATTAACTTTTATGCTTTTCTAACCGTATCTTCAAGTCGACTACATCGAGAGGTCCTTTTCCTCTTATTGTTGCTCGCCAGGACACATGGAATTATTGCACGTCGACGTGCAGCCAATCGGTGTGCGTGTCCTTGCAGCCATATACACAGACACACACGCACACACACCGGCACTGCATGTGCATGTCCTTCGTCATTCATCAACGTTGTATGCGGTTGCGGCTTAGGGGTGGCACATGCAGCCTCGTCCTTGCCGCCCTCCTCCTTCAACTAGCCGATTTCTTCCCCAAAAAAAAAGGAAAAACCCGATTTGGGAGGGGGGAAATGTGCAAAATGTTGAAATGCGTCGACCGCTTTTGATTTATCGTCAATTGAGATGAAACATAAAACGCTGCTGCCAATAAAAGTGTTGGAAGCAACGGCGTCGTCGTGTATCCTGCAAAAAGGATAATGCGCAGCGCCTGTTTTAATTGAAAATAAATCTTGTCAATTTACGTCGCGGCCAGACACATCCTGATCCTGCAATTTCTGTTTGCTTTTATGTCTGATTTTCATTTCTTCTACCAAATTGTAAATTACTTCCGCATCCCTTTTGTTGAATGTCCTTTTGCCTGGGTGTATTACTGAGTGTTTGTCCAGGGCCAAAGGTGTTGCGTACTCGCTACATACATTGCCATTGCCTGGCCTTTTTTTTATGACACCAGAAAATATATATTCCGAAATCCGGCGACGAACATCCGCAACCTTTTTGGCGAGTCCTTCGGGGTCTCGTCCCTTTTGCAATAATAGAAAAAATCTACATATAAATAAACATTAAAATACTTTGGCGGCTGAATAAAAAGTACGAAGTCTGCAAAACTTGGTTGAGTTTCTCGAAGATTTGATACCTATTATAGAGTTATTTTGGGAAAGACTCAGATGATTTTATTGTTCAGAATTATTTATGTAATATTTTTTATTATTATTTGTACAAAAAATGTGTGTCTCAAATATATGTAATAAACTATTTTAAATCAAGGAATAAAGGGTACGTTAAGTCCTGGAGATAGGTAGCACTGAAAAATTGTTTGTTTTCCATAATATTTGTGTACCCTTACCATATGGATAAAGATTTAATTATTAGGGTTCAAAGTAAAAGGGACTGAAACAATTTTTTTTAAATTGTGGTTTCTTATATTAAAGGCAACGGTTTCTATAACTAAAACCATGATTAAATTTAAGACAAGCTTTGAATCAACATTTCGGTGTATAAAAACTTATTATGTATTTAGTTTATTATAACTTTCAGATTTCTGAAAATTAAAGTATCTAATATTCTCTGCATAAAGCTTTTCTTCTTCCATTCACGAAGAAACGGAAGCTTGACAAAATTTGTTCTTTTCCTTTTCCATTATTCTCGAAAATATTCTTTATAGCTGAGTACGCTTTTGTGAAGTCCTTCGTTTTAGTTTGTTTATAGAAATTTTATGAATAGCTATCCGTAAAAATGGAAATCAAAATTCGGATTCCTTTATAGCTCTACTTCAATCTAATAAATTTCTTGTTGGACAATCTTTGGACACATTAAACTGCTCGGATAGCTACCATTAAAATGTCGTTCCTCTTGTGTTCTCCACTTTGCCACAAATCAAGGCTAAAAATCATTTAAACGATTTTCCCGCACCCCAGGAATATTGTCACTTTTGATTTGTTTGCCCTTGATATGGGGGCGAACTTTGAATTTATTTCCCCTGGCGCTTCCTATTCCTCTTTTTTTGTAGATGATTCGCAGGGTCCTTGCAAGTATCCCATTTGGCGCCGCTTGCATTTCCTTTGGCATTCGGTTTTTGGCCAGAATGATTTCATGTGAAGCGGTGATTATTTTCACCTAAAATGCGTTGCCCCCAGTCTCCTCCCCTCGAAAAGGATCTCTCCTTAGGAAAAACACACACACTCTCGGCTAACTGGCAGGATATTTATGGGCTTTGAGCGTGTTCCGCCTTTGCCGTGGGCGGTGGTGCACTTTCAATGTTTTTGCCACTGTCTTTGGCCAGTCGATTCGCTGCCCCTTCCCCAATGCCTTCCCAACCCCTTCCCAACCCCTTCCCAATCCCTTCCTTTGCCATCCCACAGTGCCACTTGTATTTATGTCTTCGTCTATAAATCCATGTCTTCGGAGCACTCAAACACCCACACAATCGCCCCAAACACACACATGCGCGTCTTCATGTCAAATCGTAGATTTATAATTTTCGGCTGCGTCGCCAATGCAACTTGCAGGCAGCACATAAAAATTCGGTAGAAGCGGGAAGGATATCCACTGTACCACTTCTCGGACTATAAAATACCTAGTACTCCATGGAGTGTTCTTAAAAGTGGTTTCATTTTAAATGCAGTTAACTTTATGTACCCAAAGGTCAACAATTACAAATTTAGAACTAAAAAGTCTTGAGGTTAATCATTAAAATTAAAGGTTGAGGTACTGCTTAAATTTTAACATACTGACTGGATTTATTTTCAAAATTCTCTAGGCTTATATTATTTTTTAAAATAAATAAGTTAAAGTAGGTAAAAAAACTTTATATTATTTTAAGTTAACTCATGTTAAGGTAATGTAACAAGTTTAGTTAATCTTAAATTAGTACACTGGTGTACATTTTTAATATGTTCATAATTTATTAAGTTGATCCTTAAGTTCTTTTTATAACTTTTCCCAAAGGAATTCTAATATAAACAATTAATAGACAGAGAGATTGGGACAATGTATTAATTTTCCAGTTC